GTGTGTTGAGTAGAAGCTGGCAATGCATTCTGGGATGGACTACGCTATAATGACCGGCGGTGATGTAGCACCCATGGGTCGGGACGGTGTGACGGCTATGCATAAAGTTTTCGACTGGGCCAGCACAAGCAGACGGGGGTACGCTGCTAAAGAAACACAGATTATTGCAATGTTGTTCAGGGAAGTTTAATTTCCCAGAAAATAAAATAATCCAACACTTGTTTCTTTGACAGGCTGCTGCTTTTTGTGGATGAAGCTGATGCATTCCTTCGCAAAAGAGCCACAGTAAGTTTTTCCACCGCTGGAACTTTTCCACATTTTGCAATTTAACAACAAACAACTCTGGCATGCTAATTGTGATTTTTTTTAGTATTCAGATGATTAATGTCTCAAGAAAAATGTCACATTCTGTAGATTTTATTTAACCACTTAACCTTTCAATACAGTAATATAAATACATCAAAAATCCTTGGCAGACTTTTCAGGTTTTCATTCATAGCAAAAGTTAATTAATATTAAGACTGGAGAAAATGGCAGAAAAAATGTATCACAATGTAAGCGTTTCATGTTGGTCGATATCAATAATTATTCATTTGGTTTTTGTTTTAAATATCTGAAATATGACCAGTCTAGTGGTGTGACCATTCCTGTTTTATCCAGTTTTCACTTCACACCGTTGTTTTTTATTTTTAAGCAATTAAGAGGCACAGAGGCAAAACCTCAAACTTACTCAACAGGTTGTTGCTAGGTTACCAAATAGTGAGTGAGTTGCTAGGTTACCAAATAGTGAGTGAGTTGCTAGGTTACCAAAGAGTGAATGAGTTGCTAGGTAACCCAAGAGTGAGTGAGTTAGTTGATTCCACCAACATTGCTTAGTTGGCTTTCAGAGGTTGTGTGGCTAAAGTCTTTCTTTTTGCCTACATCTCCCAGAATTCTTTGTGATTCTGAAGTGATTGGAAATGATCAAAAAATTTTATTTCATATGTTGATTTATTGTGATATATATATTGTTACTGATCCAGCCCTACATCATAGTATCATAGTTGTGTATTTACATAAAGTCCCTTGAAAATAAATTGAGGTTTGGGTTTATGTGAGCAAGTTACTGGGGTGTGAATACATTTGCAAGACATTTCATATCACAACTTAAATGCTGGAAGATTCCTGTGGTTAGTAGGAGGCTGTAATGTAGAGGAAGTTACAATTAATCACCTTTTACTCTCGTCTTTGTAGGAGAAGATCAGTGAAGACCTCAGGGCCACTTTGAATGCGTTCCTGTACCGCACTGGAGAGCAGAGCAACAAGTAAAAATGTGTTTCTCACGCAGGTTTTGACCTTCTCCCAGCATGCTACCAACATGATTAAAGTTAAATTTCTCCTGCACTGTAGATTCATGTTAGTGTTGGCCAGTAACCAACCCGAGCAGTTCGACTGGGCCATCAACGACCGAATAGATGAGATAGTGAATTTCGCTCTGCCTGGTCTGGAGGAAAGGGAGCGACTGGTGCGGTTATACTTTGACAAATACGTACTGGAACCAGCCACTGGAGGGCGACAGTAAGTATCGTCTTTTAGCCTTGCCATTTAGTGGTAATTAGTGAGATAGAAGCGACTTACGATTAATAGTCAATCAATGGTTTATTAGATTAAAATTAGTTCCAAAAGATTCACAACCTTCTTTTAGTGTTGTAGTTTGGCCGCCATCCAGCAGAGGGCGCTGCTGGTCCCCATTAGGTGAAGCAAGTTACAAAAGCAAAGATGGCGTCGGTGTCTCAGAAAGGAAAAGAGGAACTATCCAAGCAGACTCTGTTGGGAGATACAAAATACCACTTTATGTTTTGAAAATTAAACACTCGATTTGCTCCTAAAGTTATTACCTTATTATCGCTCATTCAGCCGAGCCGCGTCGTCTACTGGAGGTCTGGATGGGCGACGAAGGCGAGAATGTGATGTCACAGAAAAATTGTCACACGACTGGGAGAAAACATGACGCTAAGGACGGTGGATATTTTTTTAGGGCTGTTGCGAGTTAATGTACTTTATGTTTAACAAGTTTAACTAAGTTTTCAAGAGCAACTATAGACGGTACTTCTGTATGAACATCTCTGTTCACATTTTAATTTCTTCATCTTTTATTTTTCTATTGAGCAGCCTAAGATGTTTCTGTTTTATTTATATATTACAAATAGAAGTTTAACATTATGAGAAAACTAAAATTTTCTGTTTATTAAGTCAGTATTTAATACAGCTGACACAAAATGTCAACATTTATTTATTTTAAATTAGCATATTAGGAAAAATGTATCCCTTTATGTTATGGAAACACAGTGGGACCTCTTGATGAAACAGAAAATGGCTGCTTATTAAATAATCGTTAGTCGATTGATAAGTTCAATCAACCTTAAATGAACTAATTAATCGATAACTTGCATTCCTAATCAGTGCATGCTTTGTGTTTCTGTGAAGGAGGCTGAAGCTCGCCCAGTTTGATTACGGCAAAAAGTGTTCAGAGATCGCCAAGAGGACGGAGGGCATGTCAGGAAGAGAGATCTCCAAGCTGGGTGTGGCCTGGCAGGTACGCTTCCCTCAACCATTTTGGATAATTTTTCTTCAAAGTACAACATCTTAAGAAAATAATAATTTCTTTCCTCTCCAGGCTGCAGCGTACTCCTCCGAGGACGGCGTCTTGACAGAAGCCATGATTGACGCTCGGGTGGACGACGCCATCAAGCAGCACCATCAGAAGATGGACTGGCTCCGTGCTGAGGAGGAGGCAGCGAAGAGCCTCACGCCTCCGCCTGCCGGGGCCGGAGCTGCCATAGGGAAAATGGGTTTCACTCTCCCTCTGAAGGAGACGCCTCACGCTCAGGAGGTCATCGCTCCAGTCTTTGAAATAAACACACAACCAGAATCAGCAGAGGCCAAATGTGTAAACTCAGTTATACAAGACTGTGTGAATGCTGCAGAAGCAGAGTCTAAAAAGACAGAGGACGGTTTAACCGAACCTGACAGCAAAGACAAACCAGGAAAACAGGAGAAGACCGGCTCCTCTCCTCCAAAAGACGGAACCCCAGTCTGAGTTATAACAGAACTGTCTGGATTAGAAAGATTAGCACTCTGCCCTCTTAACTAACTGGTCTGAGACTTCATGTCAAAGATGGCCGAACTGAGACAAGATTAGTTTACGGTTGGGAGAGATAATTAAGTCTTCGTAACACAACTGATGCCTGAATCTTTAATTTTCATATGAAATGTATACAATGTAAACAAGTAGTTTATGTAGAAACAAGACCATGTGTTTGTCATGATACTATTATGAATGTTGTGCAAAGTCATGTTTCTCTGTAAGAATGATTAAAACCTTTTTCTAACAAGAAGCGGTTCTATTTTCATGTGCAAATAATGTTTTTGAGCCACCGCAACTAAATGGTAAATATAGCTGAATAAGACTGTTTCTGATCTAGAGGACCCTTATATCGCATGCAGTCATTCATCCATTCACATACTGATGGTGATGAACTACACCATATCCACAGCATTTAATAATCAGCTGTGTGGAGAATGAACTCCTGTGAAGTGTACAATGATTAGCTGGATATCTAATGGTAATCAGTTTAAAGTCAAACTCAGCTGGACACTATGGCTGACAACTGCATCACGATATAAGGGTTTCACATAAGTTAAAATTAATAAAGTTTTGTTTTAAATATCTGAAATACTGTCAAACTGGTGACTGTTTTAGCCGCAGTTTCCACTCCACGCCATTGTTTTTATTTTTTTATTATCATTTTTAAGCAGTTACGGGACACGGTGGTGACTTCACGGGTTGTTGCTAGGTAACTAGAGAGCGCGTGAGTGTTAGTTGTTGCTACTCGCCTAGCTTAGCTAGCCTTGAGACGTTGGTCGGCTAAAGCCTTTCCTCTGCCTACATCCCCCAGAATGCTATGCGGTTCTGGATCGGAATTCATTAGTTATTGAAGATTCTACTTTTTATTGTTATTGATCAAGCCCTACGCCAAACAGTATTTTGAATTAAAGTCCGTTTTTATTATTATTTACGTACATAAAGTGCTTTGAGTGACTAGTACACAATATATTTAGTTAATTTATATTTATTCAGTGGATGAAAACTAAAACATTATTCTGTTGATTAACAGAATAATGAGGTGGAGTAAATACTGCAATCTGCTGGCTTTCCTTAGAAAATTTTTGAATGAATTTGAATAATTAACAGCTTATAGATCAATTGGAATACATGTGTGATTTAATTGAACTTATTTTTTTTGTAAAGTGCCTCTAAATAACATTTGTTGTCAGTTGGCGCTATATAAATGGAATGAATTTAATTGCAGTCATTAAAAATGTCATTTATTTCAGTAATAAGAGTAATAAGTTCACTAAGGGAAGCGCTTTTTATGTACAACTTACACAGAGATTGATGTTTTAAATCTTTAATTTCCCGTTTCTCAGCTCAGTGGATCTCGCATATTTTTGACCCGGCCTGTTTTCATCTGGTTTGAATATCAGAACTGAAAGACATTTTGTTGTTGCTGTGAGAGTTACATTGGCTCTTAGTCCATTAATCTGTTGTTCACTTTGTCTGAACTTCTTTTGTCTGAGTCGACATTAAAGCACACAACTCTATCAGAGAGTTGTTGCATGTTGCATTTGACCAGTGTTAAGACAAATAGATTATCCTGTTTTAAATCCAATTGTTTGCATTTGAAAACAAACATTTTAACCATTACTGACTGTAGGTAAAATCATGATTACCAACATGCTTAAATAGAAAATAATTTTAACCTGATAGAAAGAGAAGATTTAAGTGCATGAATGTATTCACTGGACTACAACTGAAATCTGGAGGATAAGAAAAAAGGTTAAACAAAATTAACTTTTTTTCCCTCCACAAAGTCAGGAGCAAGTTAACCTAACAGTCTAGGTCTTAATGGCTGCTCCAACTTTCAGAAATCAGAGAAAACACAATAAAACAAAGGCAGTAAAACATCTTGCATGTCTCCTTTAGTAGATTCATATGTACATACAGAAAAATCAGGCACTCAAGAGTTGAACTTGCAGTTTGAAAATAATTACATTGCTTCAATTCTTAAACATTTACAAAAAAAATACTATGCCCTGAAAGACAGCATTTCAGAGTTTAAATATAAATCAGCACATTATAATGAAACCCACCGCAGGAGCACCTCTGAGATGTCTTTGTTTGGTTATTCATCACTAGCCCACCCTCTTTAACTTAATTCAGATTATCTACAACACACGGTGCACAAACAACATATACAGTTCAATCAACGTTTCTCCTGTGTAAACACATGTACACGGTCTCATACCAAAATTAAAATTCTCATATTAAACAAAAATGCAATTTAAAATTAAACAAATGAGCTGTAAATGTGCTGTACTCAACAACAAAGAAGAGAAAAATGAGAGCGGGTCGTAGGGGAGCTGCGGGTCATGGCTCTCCCTGAGGAGATGTGGTCGAGTGATTTTATTTTGGGTCAGGGGAGGACTGCGGCCGAACCCTGATCTAGAGGAATAAAGGCATAATGAGAGCAGCGAGTCCGACCTCTGCAGAGAGGAACAACCCATCATAACCATTACTTCCAGTAGCTCTCAATCTTTAGGTCTTGACCCAAAGCGTTGAGCTCCTGTGCACCAATCATCAGCAGAATACGCAGCCTGCTTCTCCTTATTCTATCGACTGATTGCTTGGGGTCTGGGTGTGTGTTTATTGCAAACTTGTTTCATGTATCAATAGAAGCAGACGGTGTGGAGAAAAGGCCTGTTGCTCTTGTCCTCAAACTCCTGCAGGAGCTCGTCGATTTCGTTCTCCATGTCGTCCGTGTGCTGGATCTGATGACGACGATGAAGACGGACACAGCTTAGACACAGATTAACTGATCACAGGCTGGTTGAAAGCTTTAATAAACTGTATATTTGATGGTTGAAGAAAATCCTGAATTGGATACTTACACACTGACACAACTCGCAGATGAGGAAGGCTCCCAGCGTGGCCTCCTCGTGGTTGTCCTGAATGTCTACATTGATTACATGAACTGGTTGTAACGTCTCCTGCTCTCTTGAATTCAAATCTAGAAAAAAAAAAAAAAAAAAAAAAAAAAAAGGCAGGGTTTAATTTTTTTAAAGGGTAAATTTATTTTATCAGAGGTTTAAAAAAAAAACCCGCCGCC